TCCCCACTGTCCAGCATGATGACACCATCGCCTCGCCCCATGCCCCCCCAACCCATGCTCGCCACTAGCACCGGGCCTAACTTCTCCTTGGGCCCAACAATCCTTCTAAGCCCATTGAATTGAGGTAACCTCATGAACCTCAAACCCTAGCTCTAACTTTACTGAAGTTGAGGAAGAAGAGCACTGGCATTCTTAGATTGACATAAAAATTCAGAGTGAGATGTGACCTTAAATCTAATGTTTAGGTTTGCTTAAAAAGAGTGTGTTTGGTACAACTCCGCTTCATTGGTGGAGCATCCTTTTTCAGTTTTAGTTCTAGAATAATTTCACAGGTAGAGTTAAAATTGCTGGTAGAAACGTTTGATAAAACAACTTCACATGATAGATGAAAAGAATAAGGTCCCTTGACATGACTTCACTTCACATGTCTAGCTCCTTAAAACATGCTTTTCAAAAACCCCATGCATGGCACACCAGGACGAGGTGAAACCGGAAGGAGCCACTATTTTCTCGGCTCACCCTCCGCGTATCGTATGTGAAAGCACGATTTAAAAGGCTTCGAAGTCATTTGAATTTACCGCTCGGCGGCTCTGAGCAACTGTCGTTCTCGGGCTTTGCGGACTGGGCCCGTAGTTCGCGAGCAAAGTTCAATTGGACTGGTTCGGTGGTAAGCCGGAAATAGCAGCTTCCTCCCGCTGCGTCTGACAGCCCGTCCATCGCCATCAACCCCACGCAACTTCGCAAGAGCGCCTCAACCTGCATCTCGCGGCGATCTCCCTGACTCGGCGATGGCCGCCGCCGCCCTCCGCTCCTCCGCCGCACGCCGGCTCCTGCGCCTCGCCCCGGCAGCCTTGTCGGCTCTGTCTGCTGCTTCCCGGCCCACCGCCGGGATGGCTCCGCTCTCGCGCCCGATCGCCGCGCTCTCAGGTACTCCTCCCCACGCCTCTCTGACTACTTGTTGATTTTACCGCATGTGGGTGCCTCGATCAGACTGATCTCTTTATCGGGTGCTTCCGGGTTGCTTCCTGATTAGGATCCTCCTAGATATGGTTGCTCTAATTACTAGGGAGATTAAAACTCTAGATTGATGCTAGTGGGGAGATTTATTGCAAGGCCAGAAGCTATTACTCCGTAGGCAAGGGTGTTACTATGCGAGAGTTTATGATTTACTGGGGTCGACATACTCTAGCTCTGTGTATATCAACATGAAGATAGAGAGTTGCCTGGACACCTGCATACCTGCTCAGATGTGAAATGTGTGGTCCTAGAGTGTTTCTTTCTAGGCTGATGTCCAATCAAACTATTGAATGCACTCACTTTCTTGTTTATAGAACACATGTATTTCGAGTGATGTTGCCTGAAAGCTAGAACATCGGTTACTTGACAATGAGGCCTTTGCTTATGAAGCAACTAGACAAAAGGTTGTCTAGCCTTTGTTTGAGTACACGGGCTTCAGGAAGTCAGCAGCAACAAGTCATTATTTATGTTTTTCATGCATGGGGTCAGGGGTGCCATGAGATTGTGACTGTTTAGGGTTGGCCCATCCTGTGCTGATGGCTGCAAGGAGGGTTGGTCTGAGTGAAGATCGAAGGGAATAAGGGACATCTTGTATTTTTTCACACACCACGTTTGGGGTGGGGGAGGAGGGGGGGTGCTCTTATGTAACCCCAATAGTTCTGTTCCAATATATTGTGTTCTTAATCATGAACTTAGGGATATAGTCATTAACTAATAGGGGAATACAAAGGTTGCCTTTTCCATGTTATTTTGCAAAGAAAATACTTGGTTAATACTAATCTTTCATTCTAATAAAATATGCGCTGAATTCTGTGAGAGAAATGGTTAAAGAGGATTCAAAGTGATTAAACTTACTTTAACGAGATTAAATTGTTTTATGTGAAATCGTTCGAGCTGTGGAATTTTTTTCTTTGATTTGTGTTTATATATTTGGGGGAAAAATGCTAGAAGACTCAAATGCCTTGTTTGTTTTTATTATGATGTGATTCTAGTACTGCACTTCACTTAAAACTTCTCATTCTTAATTAGCTTGTCCATGCTATAAGCTCAGGTGGGAACAATCCTATCTCATGGAAACTGAGGCGCTTCTTCAGTTCAAATGAAAAACACTTGCCTGCAATATCTGACCCAGAGATAGAATCTGCATTTAATGATTTGTTGGCTGCTAGTTGGAATGAACTTCCAGATTCTCTCGTAGCAGAAGCAAAGAAAACAGTATCTAAAGCCACCGATGATAAGGCTGGTCAAGAGGCTTTGAAAAATGTATTTCGTGCAGCTGAGGCGTGTGAAGAATTTAGTGGAACCTTGGTTACCCTAAGAATGGCTCTTGATGATCTTTGCGGCCTGACTGGCGAAGTCGGTACTTGTTATCTCTGTTTCCTCATGTATTTTTTTGGGGTGCTTATATCAGTCTGATCAAGACAAATCTTTTGCAGAATGTGGGTCCCTTACCTGGTTATATTGAAGATGCTGTTAAAGCTGCATATAATCACTACATGACATACCTGGAGTCCTTTGGCCCTGAGGAAAATTATCTAAGAAAGAAGGTGGAGACTGAATTGGGGACAAAAATGATACACCTCAAGATGAGATGCAGTGGCATAGGTTCTGAGTGGGGAAAGGTATGACTTCTGAATGTTACTTATCCCTGTGGTACAGTTTTACTTCAGTATCGTCTTATACTGTAGAAAATTAGAAATATGTTGCCTGATACTCTTGTGATTCTTGATGTTTGTACTTTGTTGAAGTTTCTCTAACTGTGCCATAGTTCCTTTAAGATGATGGTCAGTTTTTGTTCCATATGCAGTGTTGCTGCATTTTTAATAGAATTTTATCTTGTTTATTGCTTGACTGATTTTTGTATCATTGAATTTCCCATGCTTGGTCTTTTGCCTATTGCAAGAAAATCTATTAAAAATCAGAGTCTGTATTTTCCTCAACCATCCATCCATCCATTATTTTCCATATGTGGAAGTCCATGGTTTCCAGAATTGGTGTTAGTTGTTCAGTTGCAAGTGGGATCCTAAACCTTGATATTATATTTCACCTGGTACAAAAAAAGATTTAAATTTTAAGCAAATTATATGTAACAACCAACCATAGCTGGCTGTCTTGCTGTAAGTGTTCATGCACTGAATGTCATTGCAAGATCTGGCAAGGATTGTTAAATTAGTTTGACATGTATGTCATATAACTCTTGGTACTGGAAATTGCATCCAATTACACTTTGCATGTGAAATCTGAAGTACCAAATATGGTTCCCCTTCTGCCTGTGACGAGGTGACAGCAACCGGTTGTTTTGTTACCACCAGGGACAAGATAATGTCAATCCTCTCTGCGGGTAGGATTTTGAGAAAAAGTATATCGGACATTTTGGAATTGGTGATATGCGAGTTAGATTTGCTTTATTGGTTCAGGGTAACTTTTGTTATTTTCAAATTGGTAATTTTTTTCCCTTTTTCTCTGACTTTCACCATAAACCAGCAAAACAAGCATGCATTCGGGCTGATTCCTGGCCAATATTGTCTGGTCTTCCTCCATGATCTTACGGCATTACTAGCAGGCAAGCAGCTTTATAAGAATCACATGGGTGTGCTTTTTTCGAACACCTCGTGCACATAATCATAGTGTACCATTTATGGGGAAAGGATGTTCTGGTCTCGTGTCGTTATTACTATGAAAATGTACCCTTCTTCTTTAGTTTGTTTTTCATCGGATTATTTTCTGATGATGAAAATGAATTATGTCCTGCTCGACCTCATAGCACGTATGGAATTATGTTCTCGTTTCGATACACGTCGAGCCTGCTTGTTGTGTCAGGACTGAAGCTAGTGAAATAGCATATATATTTAGGACTCCTTACTCATAATTTAATTTTCCTACTTGCAGATCTCCCTGATTGGCACCTCAGGGATCTCAGGTTCCTATGTTGAGCTAAGGGCATGATGGGAAGTCAGCAGATCAGAACCATGGAAATCATCGATGAGCTGAGGAAGTCTGTAGATCAGAATATGTCGCGCTGCATTTTCCTTTCCCCTTTGTAGCTACCATGGCAATAACAATGAGATCATCAAACAGCTGTGCACTTCAAGTAACCCAAATACTGCCGTCTTTGTGTCTGTAATAAGAATGTGTTTCATGTGCGTGAAACCTGTCAATTCTGTTAATTTTTGGCATGCGCCTGATTTCTTGTTCAACTGTTGTGAATTGTATACTTTGTTCATGAAGCACTGATCATATGCCTTCCCTTGCTACTCAACTTCCTTCAGCATTGCAAAAATACAGTGACCTGCCATTCTTTTATGCAAGGGTTTAACTGGTGCAAGCGGTAGAGTCTTACCGCTTGTGACTGGAAGGTCCCGGGTTCAGTTCGAGTCGCTTGGGAACCTGTGGATGAGTCCTTCTTCTCATTGAGGACGCAGCCAGCTTCCCGAGCAAGAAAGGGCGTAAGCTTTAGCTTCGACACTCTTCCTTTCCCTGCTTGGTATAAGTACTAGACCCATTAGCAGAGCGGTTGCTCTTCTCTCATGCTGGGTACGCTCTTTTTAACAATCTCAATATGTGATTGCTATATTAACTACTGGATTATAGCATGTTAAATTTAGACCTTTTCCAATCACTTAAAATATAAAATGTACTAATTAAAATGATGTGTATGCCATATGCGTAAATTTGCTCATTTTAATATTAGGCATAGATATAGATTGTATGCTATAAATATTAGGGAAATTATTTGTTTATTGACAAGGTGCCTTTACTCACAGTAAGTGACAAGACAGGTGGCATATAAGGGAGACGGCTAACAAGTGGCCTGTAATTATTTGCAGCCCTGAAAAAGAAAAACTCATTGATTTCTATTTTACACAGTAATGTATCACCAGTACAAGTATACAACATTGGCCAGCTGGTAATTTCCTTACAGGTTACAGCCATCTACCTACGTATCTCCTCACAAACATCTACAACATGAGGGGGGGCACAGGCTAAACTTGCATCTCATGGGCCGAAGCAATCTCGCTGCAAGGAAGAATAACAGCAATCTTCAAGCGGTTGGCCTGCAAACAATAACAGCATTTTGATTTGATCTGAGCCATCATCTGCTAGCTACATGACCTCCTCGGACTTTGTCACTGATGGAGCTCATGATGTTCGAGGCAATGGCGATGCTGCTCGTGACCACGGCCAGAATGATCATCATTGCCGCCAATGCCTTGTCCTTGCGCTTCGCTATTCCATGAACATCCCTGCAGAAAAATCGCAGTGTTAGATTCTAAGCTAGCATAGCATTGACAATGCAAAAAGTGGTTCAGAATCAGGCCGTCGTACTTGAGAACTATGGCGCCAGGGAAGATCAACGAGATGGTGACCGCGAACGTGGACCCGGAGTACTGGAAGAGCGTCCAGATGCTGGGGATCGCGATGGCCAGCGCGTAGAGCACCGCCATGAGCACGGCCGTCAGGGACACGAACCGGCGCGTGTCCGCGGCGAGCGGCCGGCGGCCCGGGAAGAGGAGCTCGTCGACGTTGACCCGGAGCGAGAAGAGGAGGAGCGGGAACACGAGCACGAGGTGCAGCGCGTAGCTGAGCCGCGCCGCGTCGTTGAGCGCCTGCGGGACGCCGGCCCCGGAGCTGCGGTCGAAGTTGGCGAGCACGTCGGCCATGGTGGCGTCCCCGAAGAGGAGGTACCCGAAGAATCCCACGGCGGCGTAGATGGCGGCGCAGAGCACGAGGGAGATGCGCACGGCCGTCTTCATGTCCGACGTCTTGCTCAGCTCCGCGCGGATCGGGTGCACTGCATCAGTTGCCAGCGACGTTCCGGATGAGGCAAAGTCGAGCAGCGTGCCAGGCAACATCATGCATGCATGGTGGTTGCAGAAGAAACCAGCAGTACCGTTGAAGTGGAAGGTGAATGCGAGGACGATGACGGGTACGGCGGTGAAGAGCTCGAACGGCGAGGAGAGTCTGGAGAAGTCCGGGAGCATCCGCGGCATGGTTGCAGTGCCCTTGAAGAGCGCGTACAGCGCGATCCCCAAGCTGATGAGCATGAACACTACCGCCAGTAGGATGGAGATGGCCGACGTGAACATGAGCGAATCTGCATGTTGAAACAAGCTGGTGAATACCATGGGCAAACACCGACAGATCTTTACATATACCCATTGGCACGGTGACAAGTCGCGACGCCGGAATCAGGTTTTCATAGCCCCACATACAGCAGGACCAACCAATGTTGCCCACGTTCTACACAATTCGCATCGAGGTACCGCTCACGTACCGACACGCTTCCGGAGCACACGGGGCAGGAGAATCGCCGCGGCTGCCACCAGCACCACCTCCCGGCTGGTCCACCAGTGGCGCCCGAACAACTCCTGCAGCACCCCCGCGTGCGCCTCCCCGCCGCTCGCCGCGCCCGACATCACGTCCCCTGCACGGCGACTAGTCACTCGCACCGGCCGGAACAGCCTCACGCTAGCAGCTAGCGCTGGCATGGCCGCATGGCCGTGTGGGGCTCGTGGTGTAACACCCTGTGTTAAGCTTTGTATTTGGCATTGGCATTGCATAAGCACAAGTATCATTGATTATTCATGAGCATGAGCATCTCAATTTTATCTCTCGGATTGCTTATATCACATGTGTTTGTTACTAAATGCTTTGCATATGCTAGGATTTACATGTGACTCATGTATAAAATGTTTGTGGGACCTTAGGAGTACCTTAAACATTTTAAATGCCACATGGAACAAATTTGGTATTCATGACTTAGACCCATTTGGCCTCTAAGTCATGGTTATAGTGTAGGCTTTCATTTTCAAGTTGTATGTTTGACCTAAGTTGAACTATAGCATAGAATATTTGCATGGCAGTGCACCCTTAAGCAAAGTTGTAGTACTTGACTAGAGTAACAACTTTTATTTTTGGGTCAAAGTTTAATTCAATGCATAGCATGCTAAAAAAATAACTCACAAGTATCAACAAAATGCTGTTTTGAGACTTGCAAAATTTTCTAAGTGTTGAAACAATTTTCAGTTTCAAAGTACCTCACTTTAGAGCAATGTAGTTTGTTAATCAGTGAGAATTAGATGATGGTTCTTAAAGCAAAGTTGGAGATTTCATGTAGCTCTATAATTTCTATTCAGGGAATTTTTGCTAACTCTACCTGGTTTGGGAGATACAGGGGATCAAAGTCGCTCTGTCAGTCGTGTCATTGGGGCCTGATGGCCACGGACGCTGCGCCGTCAGTGGCCGACCGGGGGCAGGTGTTGATGCAAAAGTGGATCTGCAAACACAAAGGGCTAATACTCGAATCGATATCCAAAGCGTGCCAGTCGATTTGACCTGTTAATCGACAAGGATGAAGATACGAGCACTTTGGTCCCAACAAATGACACGCCCGGAAGTCACGGCCAAGAGGTACTCACGCGAACTCGAGAATCGCCAAGGTCGATGATCAAGCGATGCAACTCATGAATCAATGAGAACTCGTAAAAGGAAAAAATATACAAATTGACGAAGTCACCGAAAAGTAAGTAGATGCAAATAGGAGTAAAAATTGGTTTTTGATATTGATTGATCTCTATTACATTGCCCCTCAATCTATATTTATACCCTGATCTAAAGAGACATAACCAAATACGACTAGGACACCAAGTCCATATCTAAGGAAACACGTGACTCTTACATGAATCATACTCTAACAAATATAAAAAGGAAATCAACTCCTATCTATTTCCCTGTCTCGCCTCAATTACGATGGAATTCTCACCGACCTCCTTTCCATCGGCATACTTCCTATTTCATCGACGATAGTTTTCAAGCCTTCCTTCATCGGCATCGACACTAACATCTCCAACCTTATCGGCAATGCCCGAGTCTAAATCAATCTTTCCATCGATCACCACCATTCATCGGCAACCATCTTTACAAGTTGATTTTCATCGGCGGTCACATCAGATATGTGAAACTTTCCTCCCGCCGATTAGCCCACTCGATCATTTTGACACGTGCAAAAAAAAATCTGTCAACACATGCCCCCAATTTCGTAGTATAAAACCATTAATGCTTCAAATTTACTCCAGATAACGCTTGCCTTCGCCCAATTACCGTAACTCATCCTCCAAGCCAAAACTTGATCTCATTATCAAATCTAATCAAATCTAGTCCCGATTCACGCACCTCAAGAATATCGCACACATTTCCAACCACTCTTGCCTTGATTATGGTTAAGATACTCAAACAATAATCCATCGGCAAGATCCTAACATAATAATGCCGCCATTTTCGTAATTAAAATATACTGCATCGAGATCTCTTCCAAGTCATGATTACTTGCCATCAAATCATCTCAGACAATCCCTTGATTATCGTATGACGAGTTACCATATCCATCCGAACCACCTCGACCCTCATGCTCGCAAAGATAGAGATAGGTCCGAGAATACCCCTACTCCAAGCGGCTTATAAATAGATTTCTCCTAACGCTTGTCTTTTACCCTCGACTCCAATCTTTGGCATTTTCTCTTTCCGTGGCGACTCAACGAACAATCTGCTGCGACCTCAACCAACAAGAACTTTTCTCCAACATCAACCTCGAGTCTCCACTCGTGCCCCATCTACCTCAAGATAATGGCAATCAACTTCGACGTCCTCATGGTTCGCTTCCACTTCACATTACTTTTTATCTCGATTCCTCCGGTCTTTGCGAGTTCATACATTTGGTAATTTTTCTTTTTCTTTGTTCTTCGGATCCTCTAAACTTAGGAACTTCGCAACAAATTAGTTATTCCAACCGATCACCGCATTTCCAATGCCTAGGACCAATGGGCAACCCAGATCCAACTGATCTGATTAATGCAGAGGTTAACATAATCCCTTTTAGAGCCCAAAATTTCTCTCTAAATTTATGGAAAGATACATTCCGATCTTGGCCCAAAACCACCAAAGGGTGGAAAGATTGGTACATGAGGGTCAACAGGTCGATGCAAGTACACCGGGCGTATCGGAAGCTAGACCAATGCATTAGGCTATCCATTGCCGATATGCAAAAGAACGAGTCAATGATGATTGCAACCGCTTACTTCGGTCGAGACAAACAAACACTTTTATGTTTGGACATGGCCCACTACTCCCACACTTGTCGATGTCTACATGCTCACCGGCTTGGACATTTCAACTGCCGATGAAGGCTCCATCTATGGCGTAAAAATCCGAATATAGGGTGAATACACCGCAATATCGGCGGTTGACGGGATATATTCAAGAATGCCGGAGGACCGGACACGAATAACTGAGAGGAACATGCCACATTCTTGAATATGTGGTTAGAAAATTTTATCTTCGTGGTCGATCAAGAGGGACCAACCAACGCCTTCCTCCTCATGCAATGAACTCTTGGCCAATGGTGTAAGGTTCCTCTTGGCGATATACCTTCCGAGCTCCACTTATCATCTTCTTTATCAAGTGTCTCGAAAACTTTTGCTTGGCGAACCCATCGGCAACTTAGGAGGCCCGTGGTGGTTTATCAACATGTGGTGAATGCCCATATGCACAAACGCTTTACAATGGGACTTCTTTGCCCAACAATTCCCACGAGAAATTGTCAAGACCACGTGCTTGGGGATGAGGAATCAGCAACACGCCGCACCCCTCAATTTTGGTGAAGCCATAATTGTCCTCCCTGGAACAGAGGCCAATGAAGACCAGATCGGTAGATTCTTCCAAAGCTTCTACAATGGTCTTTCTCGTGATCATAGGGCCTGGGTACCTTATTTTGATGAAGAAAACAGATTCCCCCTTCTTTTCAACTTTGCCGATGACACTCTGAATCGGGATAATGAACTCATGATGGCCATCATTACTCCTGTGGCAATCCCAAAGAAACACATTCGGTGGCGGAAAACACCAATATCACGTATGAATTTTATAATCCATCGGCAGTATCCCGTCAATTGGCTTTTGGGCAACTGCCAATCAAACTTTGTTTTGCCGATGTGATCAAACCCAGAGAAACAATCACATGTGGAACAGATTGGAGCAGGGTAGTACGACTCTCCCCCGATGCCGATACTACAGATGTCGATCTATCCATCCGGACACCAAAGATCTTTCATCACCGAATCATATAAGCAATGGTGGCGAGAGTGGAGGGAACAACTGTTTGCAACATCTGCCACACATATCGGCACATGATCGACCCTCGAATACGCCATTCCCGATGATGCGATAAAGTTTCTTTTAACTCCCTTCGCTTTTTCCTTTCATATATCGGTAACTAACTTTCGTGACGATAAAGTTAACAACCCAAAGACCATCTATGAGCAAAAGTGGAAACCCTTCGATCTTGACTGTTTCCCGATATCACCGATCGGCTACAACGCCCCACCTTAGCCGCTTTGACTCACCGTAAGACCCGTGCAAGACCATCACCTCCAAGTCCAAATTGGCTACAACTAGGGCCACTCCATTGGTCGTCTTGCTACAACCCCGATCAAGGCATTCAAGGTAACAACCTGTTTATTTCTACTCATGCCGATCACAAATCAGATTAACATTAATCATCGTAGGTAAGAGCATTACTTTGGATCGCCATCGGCAATTCCTCCGACATCAAGCACCACTACCTCGACAAACCTTCGAGGTATTCCTTTGATTTTACATTTTATCTCGTTAAATATCATACCTTACACTTGTTTTGCAAACAACAAATGGGTACATCGACAAGCGTACATTTCGTATGTTCAAGCTCCACAACCAACAAATGCCGATGCCCCCACCCAACCGCTTCTTTGAGGCCCAAGCAAAGCGCAAAGCCTTAACAGATGCCGAGGCACGCCCAAAACGATGTAAGTCCATGTCGATCCCTACATCTCGCCTCTAACGTCGCAAGCCGTCCGAAATCGGTCGATGCAACCGAGCAAGCGATTAATCGTCTCAGACAGACATACCATCGGTCATCATACCCCAAGGGCCAACCACCGATGAGGCCACAGAGGATATCCCATCGGCAAGCTCGCACGATCCTCCACACAAAGATACTCCGTGTCGCTTCCTCCAACCAAGTACGTAAAATTGCCTTGAAACAGTAAGCCGATTGACCTAGTCGATTTATAATATTCATGCTTATCCTAATCGACCTCTTTTTTTTTTCTCGTGAACAAGACTCCCCAAACAGCCTATTTTCCTTTGCCATTGACGCGTTTACGATGATGATGGAGAGGAAACAAGTTCTTCCTTGCACCGGGAACAATATCGGCGAAATTAAGTCCAAGTTGGAAGCTCTCTGGACTTGTTACAAAGCAGGATACCACCCAACCGGTAGATGACTCGGACCCAAAAAGGCAATTTTCAAAACAATCCGTGGCGTGTCCCCGCCGATGTTGAAGAAGCACTCTTCCCAAAGAGCCCATTTAGAAAGCCGCCAACCGCAATATCAACGGGCTGCTCAAACGCATTGCCGATAGAGCAGCTCGGGCTCAACTCAAAGAAGAGATGC